ATGCCAGCTTTGAACTAGTGAGACTTCATCTTGAAAACAAACAAAAAGTGAGCTACTAAGCTTTGGAGACAGGCAGAGAGGGCTTAGGAGAGAAGTGCATGAGCCTGAGGCCTGCCCCCAGGAAGCACGGATAGTGGGCTGAGGAAGCCAGGATATTCAGGGCCTGCGAAGGAATCCCCAATCCCACCTTGGTCTCCACACTCTGAATAGACTTTAGGATACAAACTTCTGGATTCAAAGAGAGGCTGAGTCCAGGGGTGTAGGCTGGGAATCACCAGAACGTGGGTGGTACTGAAGCCATGGATGAGATTGGGTGACCGAGGAGATCATTTGATGGACCTCTGCTTAAAGCAGCACACACCATCTCTGGACGTGCCAGGTGCTGTGATAAGTAACTTCCTTAGCCTTCCAGACAACCCTGTGGGGCTGCTTTGATAATGTTCCTGTCGGGGTCGCTCCCGACCGGCAGGAAAGACACACGACAAAGTCTGGCGGTGTGCAACCTTGTCTTTATTTATCTCCGCGTGGGCCCCGCGAGGCCTCCACTCTGCCACCAGCCCTTTTTCGCCGGTGGACTTTTTTTATCTCTCTCTGTGCTTTCTCTGTGCTTCCTCTCTCGTGGCGGGAGAGGCATTCACTTTTATAGGGTGACAGTGGCCAATCAGTTCAAAGCGCGCGATGCGGGCTGATTGGCTAACATCAGTTGTTGCTAGGCAGACTATCTTACAGAGCGGGTTGTTTAAGTCGCCAGCGCAATCAGGGGGCAGGAAGCAGGCGCCAACTTGACTCACTCGATGGGAGGGGCAATCTAGCTCAGGCTCCGCTCCCACCCACAGGCCCTACGTCCGCCAAGTAAGGCGACCGGTGTCGGCGGCTCCCAACATCTCCCCCTATTTTATTTACTTTGAATGAATGTATGCATCGCAGCCCGCCCTGGATCGAGTGCAGAGGCTTATGCCCTGTGTTGAGGCCCACCGTAGGCCCTTGGCTTGGACCCTGGTCGGCCGCCCCCGGGTCTGCCAAGGCCTTGAGACCCTCGTCCTTTTTCCAGGGCCAGGAGTGAACTGGACGGAACCTGGATGCACATAGGCATGCACTCATGCCCCTCCGTGTGATCCCCTCGGAGAGGCATCTAGATCTGGTCAGATTCTAGTAATCTAGCGGCTTTCGTGCGCCATGGGGTAGGGCCTGGCTTAGGTCGAGTCGTGCTGGGGAGGCACGCTCTTACCCGTCATTGACTCACCTACCCTGCTGTGTGGTGTCAATAGGGAAGGAATGCGGAAGACCCGCCACACCTAGACCCGGTCGTAGGCCAGTCGAGCGAGCCATGCGTAAGCCTGGGGGTCATTGTGCCCATCACGGGCTGCTGCCAGGGCCGCATGGGCAACCAGGCGTACTTGACGCCAGGCCGCCGCAAGGCGCCCATTAATAAATTATGTAACCCATCGGAGCAAGAATGGTCCTACAAGTAAGAGCAGAAGCAAGGAGCACAGGGGACCTAACAATGGTAAAACATAGGGGAGCAAGCCATTCCAGGCTCCCCAAAAAGGGATTGTCCTGCAGTTTTTTTAGGGCTCATCTTGTTGTTGGGTCTGCGGTTGGCCTCTGGTGGAACAGGCCTGATCTTTAGTCGAGGGACTTGTCGCGTCAACCTCTCTGGGACCCACAGTGGTTTTTGTCTCGATTCCTGTAGAAAAACACAAACCGCGCCTCGGTTCCAGCTAACCACCGGATCCGGGCCCATCCATTGTCATGCCATAGATAACCGCGCCTTTGGAGGCAGGCCTTGGCTTACTCCCCCTTTTTGTTTTTTATTTTTTATTTTTTATTTTTTTTTTTATTTTTGGTCTTTTTCGTTTTTTTTTTTTTTTTTTTTTATCGGTGCCAGGGATCGAACTCGCGATTGCCTGCTTACAAGGCAGGCGCTTATGCCGCTGAGCTAAATCCCCAGCCCCCGTTTCCTCGACCGGTGTTTTTCTCAGCCTGCTCGGCAGAGTAGCCGCCCATGAAAATACCGTCCGCCCCGCAGCGCAACGTCATAGGACGGCGGTCGCGAGAGAGTGGAACGGGGCGTCACTTCCTGTGCCGGCTGAGAGAAGGGAGGGTTCCCTGTAGCGGCCTCTCGGCGGGGAGCCGCTTCTGGAGAAGAGCTCCAGGGCGGAGCGGATGGCTCTCTATCTCCTCCCTGCCAGAGAGCGCTCGGGGGCCCTTTCTCCTCTCTCTGCTTTTTTCGAGCGGCGCACGCACACAATTCACGGCGCAACTCGGCATAGGAGTCAAGGCACGCATGTATCATTTCCCACAGGGGGCGAATAGCCGGCGAAATATCGCCTCCCAATTCCGCCGAGGCGAGGTCCCCGCCTAACTTCTCCCATGACGGCAGGTTTAAATGCCCTGTGGGTAAAAACCAGGGAGCCACCCTATCTATCTCTGCTATGAATAGTTCCAGTGTTTTTTGACCTACCCTGAGGTCTCTAGCTTTTAAAAGCTTCCTAAGGGCCTTTACCAAGGGCCGCGCCTCCGCGCTCGGTAAATTACCCATTCTCAACCTCTAAGGGCTGTTACTCACCGCGTGTGACTTAAAGAACCCGTCACCTACGCGTGAGCCTGAGGGGAGTCTAAAAGCCCTGTAGGTGCGCGCCACCCAGAGCCCAGGCTTATCCCCAACTCACCTGTCCGGCAGCACCACGCTGGAGCGTTGCACACCACCGCCGTGTCTCGGGGTTGATCAGTCCCCGTGCGGGTCACCAAATGTCGGGGTCGCTCCCGGCCGGCAGGAAAGACACACGACAAAGTCTGGCGGTGTGCAACCTTGCCTTTATTTATCTCCGCGTGGGCCCCGCGAGGCCTCCACTCTGCCACCAGCCCTTTCTCGCCGGTGGACTTTTTCTATCTCTCTCTGTGCTTTCTCTGTGCTTCCTCTCTCGTGGCAGGAGAGGCATTCACTTTTATAGGGTGACAGTGGCCAATCAGTTCAAAGCGCGCGATGCGGGCTGATTGGCTAACATCAGTTGTTGCTAGGCAGACTATCTTACAGAGCGGGTTGTTTAAGTCGCCAGCATAATCAGGGGGCAGGAAGCAGGCGCCAACTTGACTCACTCGATGGGAGGGGCAATCTAGCTCAGGCTCCGCTCCCACCCACAGGCCCTACGTCCGCCAAGTAAGGCGACCGGTGTCGGCGGCTCCCAACATGTTCCCATTTACTGACAAGACCGTTGTGATGCAAAGACTTTTACATGTGTCCTGCAACACCAGTGGGAAACAGAAGAGCACAGACATGAGGAGAAAGGGTCCAGGTGGCCAGGTGACAGGCACCAGTCAGAGAAATGCCAGGCAAAGCCCAGCACCCTGCAAACACTATATGCTGTGTCAAAGAAGACAATTCAAGCAGGTTGTAAGGGCGCACACCTGTGATCCCAGCACTGCGGAGGCTGAGGCAGGAGGACTGCTGTGAGTTTGTATCCAGCTTGGGTTACATAGTGAGTTCAAGACCAGTCTGAATTACATAGTGAGACTATGTCTCAAAAAACAAAACAAAACAAGACCATTCATCTTGCCTTTTCTTTCTCATTACTTTTTTTTTTAAAAGCTAACTACTTCTAGAAATTAATAAATCCAGCATCAACCAACACAGCATCAGAGAACAAGTAACATTAATCTGAAAAAAAATACAAAGTCTTTGTAGCTTATAATTACTCTTAAATTTGGAAAGGAAAAGATGAAAAGAGTTCTAGGGGTTCAGTGACAGAGTCCATCTGTCTATCCATCTATTATCACCCATCCATCCACCACCTATTCATCCATCCACCCACCCATCCATCTATCACCCATTCACCCATCACCCATTCATTCATCTATCCATCCACTCATGCATACAACCATCCATCCATCCAACTATCCATCCATCATCCATCCATTGACGAGATGTTAAAGATTAAATGATCAACCAGCTGTCCCATCTGGGACCCGCTGAAGCTCAACAAGAAGGTCTGGATGACCCACCGTATGTTATATCTCTCTTTTTTGCATCCAGGATTCATATAGGGGGAGGCATTCCTGCCACTCTAGATGTTTGTCACCTGCAGAGCTTGGTTCCCTCTCACTGATTTCCTTCTACATGAAAGAAACCAATGCTACTAGAGTTGCCCTCACACTCTGCCATCAGCCCAGACTCCTAGTTTAATATTAGCTCTACAACACAAAGGGTAAAGAGGAACCCTTGTCTCAAGTTCTATGGTGGCTGAATGTTGGATGACAAGTTTGCAGCTGAAAAATCAGTGTGTGTTTGTCAAGTACATGGGCAGAAAACTTTTAGGTCATTGGAGCCCTTCACACCGAGGTTGAAAGGAACCTTAGGATATCCAGGTGTTGCCAAGGGTATGGGGAGCAACTGGTCTACCCATTGCATTGCAGCAAAGGCAAGGAATGGATGAAGGCACAGAGAACTTCACAGCCACGGGCCGGGGCAGTTCCTCCAGGGACAAAGACATCAAAGCAACACTGGCATCAAAGCAGTAGCCAAGTCCCTCCCAGGGAATTGCTCTCTCCTCCCTCTCTTCCTCAGCCAGGGAACAAGTCAAGCTGGTTTAAAACTTGCCTGGACAGACAGAATCACCCTCCCTGCCTGCCGCATGACTTGTCAGCTAAACCATACCATAAATCTCAGCTTCTAGCACCCCAGGCAGACCGGGCCCCACTTTCTGGGGAAAGAAGCTGGGGGACACTGTTGGCTCCAGAGGCGCCAAGTGTCTAGGGCTTTCTGTCGCCAGGAATCACAGCACCCAAGAGCTGGCAGAGGCCACCTCCAGTTTTACGCACTCCCTGGCCTCCATACCCATCTTCAGACACAGAGTAGGACTGCTGTTTCCTCAGAGCCAAGGCTGGCTCTGTGCTTCCCAGCCGGGCACATTCCCACCCCTGGTTAACCATTTGCAAACACATCTAGCTTCCCCTATTCGGGGTGGTTTGGAGACTCAGGCTATGCTGGGGTTCATGCTGACCTGAGAATGCAAAATGAGTCCATCCTCTTTAGCGGCTCCCTCCAAACCTCCTGGAGCCCGACTCGGCTACCCTGAGCTCTAGCTTGCACAGGGACGATCCTGCTGCATTACTGTTGCCATCAATGCCAGGAGGTGGCTGCGGTACAGACAAGCTTAGGTTTCCGGGTTGTGGTGTCAGGAATGGAGAAGAAAGTACAAGGTTCAAGGGCCTCCAGAGTGAGTCCAGGCCACTCCCACCTCCTCCAGAGAATTCATCTGGAGCGGACACCACACCGCCAGTCCCAGACTTCAGGAGGAGTGGCCACGGGTGAGCCCCGGCAAGCTCCAGGCCATCTCTAATCCCTCTGTCGCCTAGGCAAGGCTTTGTCACCTGTGGGTGTTGGGAGGTCCCAGGCCGTTCTCCAGGCTGACATCGGTGTGGACCATCTCCTGTTTCAGTTCTCCGATCTCTGAGGCGATGGTGTCAATGAGCTGTTCAGAGACAAAAATGGTGTGACGTCAGAAGCGCAGAGGCGGGGTGAGTCGGCCAACCTGGGACAGCAACACAGCCACTGAAGGGTTTTGTTATTTTTTTTTTTTTAACTCTCGACTCCGTGAATTTCCTCTCAGCAGTGGAAAAAGGGAAGGGGGCGGAGGGAGCTTCCCTTTAAAAAGAGGAAGAACATCGGTTTCGTTATTGGGGAAGAATTTGGGTTTCAATATTGCAATGAGGAAAAGAATATGTCACCCACTCATTTGCTCAAAACGGACATATAAACAAATCCTACTGTGGCCAAACCTTCACATTTGGTTTTGTCAAAAGAGATACTCCAGAGAATGCTCTGCATTACACTTCTTACAACCTAGAAGACATACACTGCTTATAAATCCATTTTCAAGGGTAGATCACCCCTCCCTCTCTCTTCCAGCACTGACAGTGAACCCTGGCACCTTGCACACATCAGACAAGCACCCCAAGACGGAGCCACATTGGCTGCCTTGAGTCTTTTTAAAAGAGAGTAGTGGAGCGATGGCGTGTTCCCATAGCCCCAACTCTTGGAAGGCTGAGGCAGGAGGATCAGTTGAGTCCTGGAGTTGGCAGGAACCCTGGGCAACATAATGAGACCCTCTCTGGATAAATGGATGAATGAATAAAATAAATGAGAATTTTAAGATGAATAGGAAATAAAAAATGGAAGTGAGAGGATGGCTTGCAGTGGGCATGTGGGGTGTGGGGTGCCCGGTGCCCCCTCCATGTGCCCATGCAGGGGCTGTGCCTCCTGCTGTCAGCAGCAGCTCCCTTTCTTTGCCTTGTGGGGCTCAGCCTGTGCATGTCAGGCCATGGCTGCCACGCTGCTCACTATTTTTGGAAATGTAATTGTTTTTTATGTCAGTGCGATTTATGTCAACCTCAAAAGGGTTGATTGCTTCAAAATAAACATTTAAACATGTCTTCCTTTTGGTGTCCAGCATGGCAAGCATCCCCAGGGATCACCCGCACCCACAGTGCCCTTACGGGGCCTGGATAACTGCACACTCCTGGGGTTTCAGAGACTGAAAGCTTTGTGTTGTGCTTTTCTAGCTGAAGATAAATGTGACCAGGGGGATTAGGATTGGGGAGAAATGGAAAAAGACTTTGGCTAAGTTAAGGTTTTAAAGACACTTTTATTGGTGCACATTAGCCAGCAGGCTATATTTTAATTCAATTGTCAACCAGCCCTCAAATAAATCTGCTCAGTAGCTTCTGATGTTCAGGGTGGAACTTCTATCAGGAAGTCATGGGCTTATCTGTGTGGCCAGTGTTCCAAAGTTGGGAGCCAGGATAATTGTTTCAGGATGGCCTCCAGGGAGAGGGATCCCTGGATAGAGCTCAAAGCACCCCAGCTTTCAGGAGGCAGAGGGAAACCAGCTGGGCTCTGTTTATGCAACTCCTGCCCTTCCTGCGTGTCTGCGATGGGGCCAGCAGCTGGTGCTCCCAGGAGCACCGGGGCCTAGGGAGAACAACCAAGAGTCCCAACTCAACATGTCCATGCAGTGACAACAAAAACGGAAGTTTGATGGTGCTAGACATTCCAGCACCCCTACACTGCTGGAGAAATATCACACATCGATCCATTCTGGAAAGCAATTCGGCAATATCTGCTAGGATCGCAGATACAAACACCTAGATATGCTCTCTAAAAAGCCCTTGCACATGGGAACCCTTGCAAGAGTGTTTGCCATATACCTCAAGCACAGAAGAACACCAAATTCCAAGCACCTAAATGTCCACCAATAGGCAACCAGGTAACTTGAGATATGAACTATCCTGGGAATAAAATCAACAAACTAGAGCTACCTATAGTAACACACACGTAGGCATAAAAGTTCAAAAAAGTGCTTTAAAAGCCAAAACAAGCTGGGTAGGGTGGTGCATACCTATAGTTCTAGCTATTTGGGAAGCTGAGGTAGGCAGGCCCCTTGAGCCCATGAATTTGAGAATAGCTTCAGGACAACATAGAGAGAGTCCATCTCAAAACCAAACCAAAGTCAGCATGTGCCTTTAATCCCAGCACTCTAGGAGGCTGAGGCAGGAGGATCACAAGTTTAACAAAGACTTAGCCTGGGCAATTTAGCAAAGGCCCTGTCTCAAAATAAAAAATTAAGAAAAGGGGTAGGATGTAACTCAGGGTGAAGGGCCCACACGCAGTCCACAAACAAAACAAAGGCAAGACAAAAGACATTACACCGAGCATATGAAGTTTCAACCCAGTGGGAAACACACTAAATACTGTGCACAGACACACACAGATACATCCCTCTCCTGCACAGGGACGACAGCCCTACTCCAGAAGTGACTGCATCTACACAGGAGGCACAGAAGCAGATGTTCAAGGCTGAGAAGCTCAGCATTTCTGAGAATTAGGCCACAGACTGACAGGATTTGGTGGAGCTGAGAGGCTGGTGTCTCAGGACTGTGCGCTTGGCTGAGGGACTGGGGTGTATGCACTCCTTAATCACCACTGATGGAAAAGTAATGAGACAAGTGTGGCTGTATATAAAAATGGAGGAGCTGGAAGGACACAAAAGGTGAGAGAAAGAAACCATGTGACTGCTACAGCCCCACCGCGCCAGGGTGGGGCCCCTTCCACTTGCCTGTGGCCACTCGGGCCAGCCAGGAGCAGAGGGCCCGGTGGGAGGGAGGCTGGGCAGACAAAGCAAGCTCAGAGAGCCAGCGTCACCCTTCGGGGAGAGAGCTTGCCAGGCCTTCACCTGGCTTGCCACCATCCTGTCACCCTACACCTGCCCTCCTAGTCTAGACATATGGCCTGGTGGCCAAAGCTTCCTAGTACAGGCCGCCCATTTGGCCCTGCTCAGCCACTTCCTCTGCACTCACCATCAGCCACATCTGAAACCTCCACATCCATGCTTGCTTCCTGGCCCCTACAGAACTTCTACAGACCTGGCGGTGGCTTAGCACACAGCCCAGATGGTTGGCAGATCCCTACAATGGCACCAACCTGTACAGAAGGAAGGTACTCGGAGCCCTGGGACACAAAGGATGACAGCCACAGAGGCTGGTTCCTCCTCTGCCAAAGGAGGACACTTTTCTCCAGCCACCTGCATTTACTGCCTGCCCAGCTCATTGGTATCTGCCTGCCAGGTGGGCCCTGCTCTGTGCCCCAGGACCAGGCCTGCCTCTCAGGGTGTCTGCCAGCCCACTAGGCCCCCATCAGCAGGGAGCAGCTCTTGCTCTCTGGAGCCAGACTCATCTCCCACCGGGCAGGTGTCTGATAAGACTCCTGGGCTCTTCTTCCTGCCCCTCACATTTGGTGCTTCCCAATCATAGTCCTGGAGGATAGAGATGACTTGTCACTCACGAGCATGGAGCAGTTTTAATTGGAGCTTTCCCATGCAAATGCCATCAGCAGCTATATCCCTTATCAAAATTGGTGCCAGGTCAGTGGTGGATGCCTACCATGCCAGCACTGGGGAGGCTGAGATGGGAGGATCTAGAATCCCTCCAGGAAGGGGAGGGCACGAGGTTGTCCAGGCAGCTCCAGGCTGGGAGGTGAGTGCTTTTCCTTCCTCTCTGGCTGCCTAGAAAGTGTGTGGCTCCTCAGGAAGGTGACAGCAGACAGACAGCTGCCATGTGGTGCAGCCAGAAGGGATGTGGGACTGGCAGGTCATGGAGCTGGTGACATAGTGGTTCCTAGCCCCACCCTGCCCACCTGTGTCTTTCTTAGAAACCACAACAACTGAGAGCCAGACCCTATGTCCATACAGCACAGCAGATATCAACTGAGACGAACCCCAGGACACACAGCAATATACTCAAGACAGCTGGGTGTGGGCACACACCTGTCATCCCAGTGTGCGGGGTGCTGAGGCAGGAGAATCCTTGTGAATCCGAGGTCAGCTTGGGCTGCATGGTGAGACCCTGTCTCAAGAAACCAAATCAACCAACCCAACATGGATGAAACAGGGCTGGAGCCCTATTCTCAGGACCCTGGAGAGGGGCTACGGTGACCTGCAGGGGAGCCCAAGGCCAGGGGATGGAACCCCACACTAAGCAGACAGAAGCAGCTGGGGAGCAGGGGCTGCCAGCGTGGCTGAGTACTGAGAGGCCTCAGGCCCAGGGTCCTTATGACCTCTGGAAGCACAGGCGAGGTGGGTGCTCACCTGGATGACTTTGCCTGGACTGGCGTCCATGCCAAGGCAGGAGAACCCTCCGGGAAGGCGAAGCTCCTTTCCCATCAGCCAAGCTCACCCAGGCTGGGCGAGGCTGGGCCTGTCGAATTCCTAGTCCACACCAGTTTGCCCCACCATGTAACCACGCTGGATCCTTCTCTGCAGGAGGGCACCTCATACCGAGGACTGTGTGAGAAGTGGGGTATGGCTGGCCAGGTGCCATAGCGGGGAGCACCCCAGCTTTGGGCATGGAAACCCCACCTTCTGCCTTGTCCCTGGCTGGACCACCTGGAGGGGGGTGAGGAACCCACCAGGTGCCCTGTTCCCTGCACCCCTAGGGCAGGGCCTGATCTACCGGGGGTGAGTGGTGAGCTGAGGAGGATACACAGGACAGTCAGATAGCACGCTGAGCACAAGCATCTACATGCTCCAAATTTTCTTCCTGTCTACATCATCTCAGTTTGGCAATGATCAGTAAACAGAGCCAGCGCTAAAAGACACAGCTGGTCATGAGGGCACATGCCTGTCATCCCTGCGATTTGGGAGGCTGACTTTGGAGGGTCACTTTGAGTTCAAGGCCAGCCTAGGCTATACAGTGAGATCCTGTCTCAAAAATATCCAAATAACCAACCAGCCAAACAAAAGAGCCACCACGGGTTCATCCACGCCCCTGAATGAAAGGAGGCCGCTGGGTCTCCAGAAGCAGCAGATGATGACAGGAACCACAGACACACCAGACTGCGCCCCCTCCCGTGCCCACAGCTCTTGGACTGCATGGCTACTGCACATTCATGTAGTGTCCTTGTATGCTGGGGAAGGGG